GGCATACATACCATATGATGTGCTTGTTTTCATTGTTCAATTCCAGGTTATCCAGGTGATCGTCCAGCATAAAGCCCCAAATCATCCAATAGTTGACAGTATAGGCGTATAACTGATTCTTTGTGGTAAACGTATAGTCCTGAGAGCCGGTGATGTCGGCGCTGTCGGTCAGGGGTTTGCCAAACGCTTCGGACAACTGTTGGTTAGAGTCGGCCGTAGAGTTCGGGTAATGAGGGTTACGGCCGGTCTGTTCCTCGACGAGACCCCGGATCTCAAACGACATGAGCATCTCGTGGGTCAGGCCTGAGATGTGTCGGGCGTTGGAGTAGTCCTTGTTTTTGAACTCCTTGGGCATCGTTTCCACGAAGGTCAATTTAGGTGCTAACTTGGTAAACACGTTGGGCATAGTTGGTTTTGTTTTTGATGACTGAAAGTGATTTAATAGACACTATTATTATTAACAATTTATCACCACTAATTTCAATTCAATATTTATTTTAATATCAAATATGTTATTATTCCAGATGGACATTATTGGTAATTTTTTAATTAATATTAGTTTTAATAATTTAAGTTATATTCAGTTTATTATTGATAGTAACATTATTAATGATTAAACATTTAGTTATTTTATTTCATGTCAAATACATTATCGCTACAATCGTTAATAATACAAAACATATTATATCAATTAGGATTTATCATAAAACGTTATAAAATAATTAGTTAAATTATTTAAATTCTTAAATAAAATTCAAAATTTATTATTGTGTATAAAAATATATTAATTATTAACTTATAAATAATGCTAATTTATATTATTATAGCTATTTAAAACGAGATTTGAAATAATTATAAATATTAAAAATACAATAAACTACTAATAAATACTAATAAAGTACTATAAAGCAAAACTGTAATATATTTATAATAAAGCATTAGTCAGTTTATAGTGTGTTTTGAAAAATTACTTTTTTAAATGAATTGAATTTACTCAATTAATATTATGTACATGTAGCATTGTCAATAGGGTGACCAACCGTCCTCTATTACAGAGCATTGTCCTCTATTTGGATAGTGTACTTTAAAAATTTACTATGAAAACTAATGTTAAAACTTGTGTCCTCTATTTATCATAAGTTTTTATTGTATGTTTCCCCGTATGTCCTCTAAAACTCTGTGTAATGTCCTCTTTACCCAAAATGGAAGTTGGTCACCCTAATTGTCAAACATATAGGAATTTCCTTTATTATATAGGAATTAAGGAATATTCGCTGAATACAGGAATTCATAATTTCTGTACATTAATAAATACGGGAATTAATATTTTAAGAATAAGTATATACCGTAAAAATGTTGGTAGAATGGTAGGCTTGATCTGCAGTTTTTTCCTCATTACACCATTTATTGGGGATTGCAATGACATACAGTACAACCTCAGTACACATGCCGTTTTATAATTAATACTTTGAAATGTAAAAAAGTTACAGTTAAGACTAGTAACAACATGTACAGAAAATAAAAAGATAAAGTTCAGTGTTAATGGGTAAAATGCTAAAAAGGACTATGCCCATTCGTGTAATATAACTAAGTATATTATATTATATATCAATAGAAATGTACGGATAAAAAAATTATATTTTAAAATAATTATCAAATTCGGACTTAATTAAAAAATGTTAATTAAAAAATTAAAAATTTCTTGACAATTGTATACGTTTTTATGAGTGGCGTAATTATTTTACTCATTTCACATCAATTTTAATTGCATTTACATAAATAATTAAATTACTAAAATAAAAATTGGTCAAAATTTGAAATGTACAGATTTTGGCATTTTTTCCATTATTTTTGCGCAAACTCCTTTTATATTTAAAAATTTTATTTTTATAATTGGCGAAATTAATTTTCGTTGTAAGCATAACTGAAATTGATATAAATTATGTACAGTTATTACGTTATTCACTATAGAACACGTGAATAACATTTACAAAAATTTTTAATTTTGATATAACCTTTACCAATTATGTCAAATTTGGGAAATTCCTTCGGATTTTGATTCTACACATCCATTCTTTTCTATTGATATATAATATAATATACTTAGTTATAAAATAAATAATTTTCAAAATTTTACCGATAAAAGTGGTCACTACGGCCAGACCCGTAAGTATATAAACATATAAGATATATCACTCGATTATTTATTGAATGTACTTTCATTTTATAACAATAATTCCCAAGTGCATTATATTACACGAATGGGCATAGTCCTTTTTGAAATTTTACCCATTAACACAGAACTTTATCCTTTTATTTTCTTTACATGTTGTTACTAGTCTTAACTGTCTCCAACTCTATAAAAAGCATTTTTTACATTTTAAAGTATTAATTATAAAACGGCATGTGTACTCAGGTTATACTGTATGTCATTGCAATCCCCAATAAATGGTGTAATGAGGAAAAAACAGCAGATCAAGCCTACCATTCTACCAACATTTTTACGGTATACAGAGGTTTTGGTCAACTCTCAGATGAATATAAAATTATAAACAAGCTCAATTAATTATTTTTAATAAATAAATATTATAGTTTACGCTAATTTTGCGTTCAAAAACTTAAATAAACACTTATTATTATTGTTCTTTAATGTTTCAACGAGCTCGTTCAATTCATTATTATGCTCAAGATCAATCTGATTGTTCTCCATTGCGTTGATTAATTGTGTTGTTGTCGGGCGACTAGCATATTGAGTATTGATCATCATGATAATCATGTGTCTCGTTTGCTCCAAGTAATCATCATTTGGAATGCTCCTGGTAGTTTAGATAACATTATTTCAATTAGAATACAATTATTTATTTTAACCATAATTTATAAGTATGTTTATAATCAACGATAAGGGAAAGGGGTAATTATTAATTATGATAGTTCAAAATATAAATTTTTACAAACAATTATTACCAATCAATATTGAATAGCTTGGCGGCAATCATACCGAGACTATAAACATCACCGGCGCGCTTATAGTGACCATCGTGTGTCTCGGGTGCCATTGTGCCCCGCGTCCCAACACCGGGCGGGCCCACAACCGTACTACCAACCTCGCCGGTCCGGCACGTGATGGCCTGACCCAGGTCACACAGTTTGCTAAATATACCAGAGCTGCCTGCGTTCGGGTCGAACAGAATATTCTTGGCCTTTAGGTCTCTGTGCATGTATGGCGGCTGACGGGTGTGCATGAAGTGTAGCCCTCGGAGCAGCTCTATGAACATCTCGCACCCGATGTAACGCCGGACCCGTTGGACGAGTGCGGGGTTTAAATTGGCCGGTATTCTACCGAATGTGTTGTCCATTAGTTGAATAATTTGAGCTAGGTTGTAGGGACAATATTGCATCTGAATAAATGCGTGCCCATTATGCTCCCAATGCGCAATAAGCTTTACCACGTAGTCACTTGTCAGTTGACGCAGGGCATTGATCTCGGTCATATAAGTATCTAAAAATAAATTAAAATAGAAAATTTAAAAATTTATATAATTTAATTTAACTTCCGAATTAAGTTAGTCTTACCCGACGTGTAAATTATTTTAATGGCGTACTCTACTTTATCTACCAGACTAGTAGCCTTATACACATAACCGTAAGCACCTTGGGCAATTCTAATAACATTTGTAAAATTAGCACCATGGTCACCCCAACCATTTGTAGGATTGTGTGATTGGGTCGGGTCAGGGAATCCCGTTAGACTATTAATGTTATTAGGGTTATTTTGTGCCGTATTAATAACCCTTCTAGACGTATTGGGTACTTCTTGTGGTACAACTGGCTGAACGATATTATTATGCGTATCATGGTTAAGTATGCCATTATTATCGCTATTATTATTACTTGTAGGCGCCACGGGTTGTGGTGCAGCAAGTGCTGGATTGTACGGTATAGATTGACTTGGTACATTATTATGTACACTATTTGGTAAATTGGTGGTGGTTCTATTTGCCTCTATCATATCACTTGCTTCTTGGTTCACGTTACCATGCACATCTATGAATGGTGTACTAATCTCAGGGTTCTCAATAAAGTGACCACGGGCTCCGGGTTTTGTGGGTAGTCTACGCAAGCGTTGTCTAAATACAAAGGCCAAGATTGCTATTATTAGGACCAATAGGGATATACTAATAATAGCTATTAATGAAGTGTGGTCATTTAAAAAGCCGTTTTTAGTATTAGATGAATTTGTATTATTATTGTCAGCTGATATGGCTTTGCTAGGCGTGACCGATATAGTTGACATTGAGTTTCGATTACAGTAGGATGCATCATGTTCATAAAGTGAGCATGCTAAGTCAGCGGCCCTTATTTGATCGAGTGGCCGGCCACCAGCCTGGCCTTGGTGCAATTGGATACATGTGTCCTAAATATTAGTAGTAAATATTAGTAAATTTATATAATGTTTATATTTTGTTTATTAATGGTTATTAAATTATTATCTATTTATATTGGTATCTATAACTAGGTTTACAGTTTGTTTGAGGATTTGATATTTATTATTTACATTTACATATGATACCCTATTTTTGAATAATATTTGCATTGATTTAATGCTATGGATATTTAAATAGACTTTTCATAGAGTTCAAGCTTATAAACAAGAAAGTGTACAGGCAAATTTACAAACATAAAATATTAATTAGATATTCATAATCAAATATTTACGTAACATAAATATGAGAATATAAATGTTTTATTGTTACAAAGAATATTCACTGCAATTGTAGAATGTAGTAAAATTGTATATAAATTATTGTCTATGTAAAAATATATAACTTGCTCATAACATGTTCATTTATATTGATATATTTTTATATTGAAATATTTTTACATTGAATTATTTTTATCTACATTTATCAAACAATAGACAACTAATGTGTGATTCACTTAATTATTACACTAGTGTGTAAAGTCTATTGTTAAGCCAAATTATTTATCACATAATAAATGTGTGAAAATGCACATGGAAAACACCAATCATATGGGCCACACCTCATATAATGAATACCATAACATTTTGGAATTTGAACGGAATGGTAAAAATATATTATTTAGATAATAAAATTCTAATAGTCTTAGTCAACTATTTGACAACTTTACTTTTATACCATACTACAATTTAAGAACTATTGGAAACACTAAAGTGTCTTAAGAGTCTTAAGTCTAATTATCCTCATTATACCTCCACTCCTGTCGTGTGATTTTACCATAACGTGTTTTATAACATATCATACAATGTATGGCATACATTGTGATCATTGATGAATCAGCATGATCACGTCACAAATACTCTAGATAAGTATGTCTATTTAAGGAAATTCTACATAAACTAATATTCCGTTTATTTGTAGTAACAAATCTCGGACATAACTAATAAATAAATGTAAGTACGGGTACATTAGCAAAATCTTATGCTTAACAAGATCAGCATTTTAATATTATAAATAAGCTATAGAATATAATTATTACATATTAGAGAAATTCTATGTAAATAACTATGTAAATAGGTTGCCATAAGGTACTGTATAGTAACTGTATTTGTATTACAGTTATGTAAATATCCCATTAGAAATACAAACAATTTAATAGTAAATTAGTTTAACATGTAAAATTAATTAAATGTAATGGTCCAAGAAATTGATATTTTATAACTCATAATTATACTTTATTAATTTAAAGTAAATTGTATCCAAATAATGTACCTTTAGACATCTAAAACGACAATGGTATTTTATCCAAAATGTGCAAATAGTTGTGACCATCTCTTGTTTATCCATACCATTATTAAGTTTATTATAAATAGCATTCATACAAAAATAAGCATTGCCACATTTATCTCCGGCTTGACAAGTGTCAATCACTACTAATATGACCAAGCACAAATTGATCAAAGCTTTTTGTAGCATAATTTAACATATATTTATTTTATTAATTATAAAATAATTTAACCACTATATAAACATTATTGCAACTAAACAACGAAATAAAAACGCATCTAAATAAAAATATCATTACCGTAATAAATTAATGTCTTCATACAATAAGACAATAGTAATCTTTGTGTGGTTACCAAAGCAACTATCACCAAAAGCTGTCAACCCTTTACATGTACTGCGCTATGTTCAATATGTTTTATAAAGTGATGTAACTGTGCTGGCAACTTTATTACAGCTAACGTTTAGGGTTTAGATAAAATATGAAAAAGTTACATAAGAGAAAGTTGTATATAGAACCAAGAGGCCCAGGGGTAAGGGCAGGGATAATATAAGGGTTAATCATGTTGAAATTTAATAGTAAATAGCCAATACTGTCCGAGTTATAAGTATAGCGATTTATAAGCAGATTCCTGTTTAATAGCATTAATTATGGGTTTACAAAAATATTGAAAAATTCCGTTTGAATTTAATTAATATTTTTATATGATTTATTCTATTTTTATTAAGAATACTTTATATTTTACTTTGTACTTTGCACTAATTAATTGTATTGCTAAACGTATTGTAAATGCAATGCAATATTTCCTAAGAATATTGCTTAATTATAAACAATATTACAAACAATTATTACATTATTTTACGTTAAAGCTTTTATCAGCGGTAAGCAATACTAAAGTTATGATTAAACCTAATGAATAAGTTAAGCTGGTTATAATTTTTCATGAAACATATTATGTTTATAAATATGTGTTTGATAATTTTATTAGTAATAGAAATTAATTGATTTACTGTGTATTTTGGACAGTTGTGCGCACTAACGGTTAACCATTGAGTTATTATTAACTATTAAGTTATATTACTATGCTGATGATCATTATAATTATAATTTGATGTGTTAATTAAAATTAAACAAATTAAACTTTTAGTGTGCATTAAAAACAATTTAATTAAATAAGCATATATTATTATAAAAAATACATATACTGTTTTGTTTGCTACTAAAAACAAACCCAAAATAAAGGTTTAATTTCAAATACATGTTGGTAAATTTATAAAAAAATTTTACAATACTGTTTGTATGTATAGCTGTTACCCTAATAGCACATGAGGGTAATTATCCGTTCTCTTTTTATAATAAATGACCACGGCAATTATTACTATTGCTAGTAATGTCAGCCCAAGTATAACCTCAATTGTAATGTGGGTAATTGTCGGTTGATCACCACCATGGTCATCTGACGGTTCAAATTGTTGACTGACAGTGGGTGCGATTGTAGGCCTTTTGCAGTATGATAAGTCGTTTTGGTAAAGTGTGCATGCTAAATCTGTGGCCACCATTTTATTGTTGGCCCCACCTTTTGCCACAATATCGTGCACGTGGTAACAATGGTCCTGTTTGTATATTTAATAATTTAGTCATTTATTATAAAAATAAATATAGTTATTTAAATAACAGAAAGAAAAGTATACGGTAAAATAATAATTACTCTGATACAACTAAACCGACATTGATGTCTTAACCAAAATTGACATATTTTGGTCACCATGTCGATTTTGGCCATTTGATTGTTTAACTTATTAAATATGCCATTCATGCAAAAGTAAGCATCACCACAATTGTTAGCTTCACACCCTATGTTAACTGTGCCAACCAAGATGACCAAACACACAATTAGCAATGCCATTGATTTAAGAATGTGATCGTAGTTTGTTTAACCTGTTTATAAAAGAAACAATTACTATTGTGTAGACAAATATTATTTGTGGCGTGACTTTAATATCGCACTACTATTCTGTACACAGGTAGATTGCTATTTAAGATACAACATGTAGATGTTTACCAAAATTATATCAACTCAATTCTGTGCCTGTATGAAAGTTTACCTGAATGCCTATAATAGCTACAATTGTTAATTAATAAGTATTTATTATAAAAGTAATAGTGAAACCACTATTTTCATATTAACATAAGTTAGCATTCGGGTTTTGATATTAAAGTTTACTGCACACGGATATAATCAGAAATACCCTGTAGAGCCACTTTAGAGCCACATTTGTATAGTGAGGTTATACTTTAGTAATAGCATTATTACTGCTATTAAATAAGAATCTGCCTGTAAATTGCAATACTACTAACACACATAGTATTGATTACTTACTATTGCATTACAACATGACAATCCCTGGATATAATTGATTAATGTTGACATTATTTTAGGCTACATTCTATAAGAGTTTGATAATTATTATATCTAATAAAAAAATGCATTTAGAAATTAATAGAAAATGGCTATTTTTAAACTAGTCACAATCTACTAAAAAAAATGTGTATGTAAACTTATGAAAATTAAATTTGGCCACTTTTGGCATGGCCCAATTTTCCGTAGTACACAATCAAAGATTATGTTAATTTTGCAGCACGTTCATTTCGAAAAGTCATTAATGTTTTAATTTAAAAATATTTATGTTATAGATAGTGCATTAATGACAACATTTTCAATACAAAAAACATTTGAAAGTATTTCCAAAATATGTCAAAATCGGGAAAATAAAGCGGATATATTTTTGACCGATTATTACCTTTAGACTAAATTGTATATTAATTATTAATTAATTATTTTCGTTGTTTTTACTGATAAGTTTGATTTGGCAAATCCTGAATAGTATAAGCTGCAGATATAGCCATTAAAATGATTACAATAAATAAAAATAAATACATTAATATTATAATGCTACATTTAGCATAACTACCTTTGTTGATAATGTTATGTCGGTGATATTTAGTAGTCAAAAGGATACAGATAAATATATTGTTAAAATATTGATAAATAGTAGGAACGTTTGTTGGTAAATTAACTGTTCATTAGTTAGCACAAAAACCCATATAAACCTTTATGTACCATGAAGTTAAATAAAGTATAGTTTAATTTTAGTTATCATTATTATCAAAATACAAATCATTGCTACTATTGGTAATGTGTGATCCACAGTAAAGCGACAAAATGATTACATGCATTAAAAATCACTGTATTTTAAATAAAATTGACATGAATTAAATGTTTTTGTGATTTAAATTTAGAAAAGTGAAATATATTGGAATTATATCATGATATTAAAAATCAAACAATATAAAATAATTATACTTTCAAAATAATATAATATTGTAATCATTTGAGTATTATAATATATGTATAAAGGTATAGTGAATGTCCTTACATTCCGGCCCCAATTCATTAGCCCTAATCCGTGTGCGCCCAGCCGTACACCCAAACAAGTGCCCAAACCATAGCCAAAACCACTGCCCAAACCTAACCCGTGGCCCAAACCATTGCCACCCAAACCATATCCACCCAAACCAATGGCCTAAACTCAATGGCTATTCAATTCCCAGAGTTGTGTCACTACTGGTGAACACACTCTCTATTTCAGGCACTCGTGAAACACTTCACCAGAATTTCGGTTAACTTAATCTCAATATAAAGCCCACTGTACTCTACACTAACACACCGACAAAGCCCTCAATTGTCCCAAATAGCCCTCACATACACTGTACACATAATCACATACTGTACACAAACACATACATAGTCCCCATAAGTGGATTCAAATCAGGTCAAAGTGACCCCAATTACCGACTATATAAGTCTACACAAACACAAACACTTTATGCTTTCAATATGTAATGCCTTATTCTGTATGTCTTATACACACACAGTCTGTCTTAGACTCTACTCTAGTACACAAGTGTACCAACAATTCAATTGTATTTTAACATTAATTCAGTTTTTATAATCAATTGTTTTCTACCATATTTTACAATAATTTGTACCATTCATTTACATTCGTGATTCACCTATTAATTCAATAAAATACTGTTTGCAAACACAATCAACGACTGCAACTTATTTTTACCTTTAATTCCGTGACCACCAAAACCCATAACAATCCCAAACAACTTACATATGTAAGCAGTTTTGATTAATTGGCACTAACTCTAACTTAGTATAAATATTCACTAAATTAGTGATGAATGAGTTGCAGTCGAGTGGTTTGTATCGCATAAAAAACTTGAATTTTATTAATGATTCTTTTGTAAAAACATCTTAAATGAAAATACTATTTGTTTTATTTGAGATAACAATAAGTGGCGACACAAGGAGTGTGAGACACACAAGACGTGTGCTGAGTGACTAAACAACATGTTTAATGTACATGGATGTAGAGTACATAATGCATAAAGTATTGGGACTTATATAGTCCACTAGATGTACAGTTGGGTCAATGCGATCCACATTGGCATCTGTCGGTGCCTTTGTGTACATTATTATCTGTCGGTGTGTTTGTGTTGAGTACATGGAGTTTGGTATTTGGGTTACCATAAGGGTTGAGATTCCAGTGAAAGTGCTTTCACTGTTTTATTGAGGATTGGACTTAAAGTGGAAAAGTATTTCACAAATGCTTTACAATAGAAAATGTGTTGACAATTAAGGGCACAATTCTCGGTATAGTTTTGCCATAGAGTTTGCCATCGGGTGGGCTATGGTATGGATGTCTAATGCTAGGCACATGGGTTTGGACTAAGAGTCCGGGGGGTTTCGGTGTAGGGCTTACTATACATTTACATACATTAATGTTTTTAAATACCAGAGAGAGAGAGAGAGAGAGAGAGAGAGAGAGAGAGAGAGAGAG